TCCATGGATGGGTTTTTTTTTTGTGTGGGTGTGGCAATGAAGGACTGCCAGAAGAGGGACATGTTTGAGGACGTGCTGGGGGATTTCAGGAAGCAGAGTGTTCTCCCAGGAAAGCCAAGGGAAGGGGTGGGAGGTTTTACATAAAAGAGGCTCCTCCCGACCCCAATCCCGCCTGTTTGCAAGGAAAAGGATTCAGTCACTGCTAAATGATATAAATAATAATAATTATTCAGACAGTTTCCACTCTCCAGTGGTTCCCTCCACGGATTCATCCCACCACATCTCCCCCTTTCACATTTAAAGCTGTTTTTTATTGGCAGTCCTGAAGAGCAAAAAAAAAAAAAAAAAAAATCTCAGTTCAGGCCTAAAATAAGTTAATAATTAATAATAAGTTAATTTGATTTCTTCCCCCCCCCCAGATTTTACCAAAGTTATTGCTCTTCAGATTAATGAAGGCACAAGCACCTTGGGCTGGAATTCCAAAGGCTTCTATTCCTCCTGATTTTAGAGTTGTCCACGTTCCTGTGGAAGAGCTGGGCCTTTTATTCTCACACTGCACCTCCTTTAATGACAACAGCACTGCAAGACAATAAAGCTGAAGGTTACACCAGGCTGACGCATAGAAAAAGAAAATAAATATATATATATATAAAATATATATAATTCACCAGGAATAATCCAAAATTAATTTCCATTTGTTATTAAGGCAGCATTGGGAAACCTTTGAAAAGGCTCTTATTTAATCAAGTCCGAATAAAAGAGGCTTAATGTGCAAATCTTTCAGTAAATCCTCAGAACTAAAAAAATAACCAGACCGTGATGAAAGAATAAGTGCCCAAGGCAGGCAAACATCGAGTCAAATTAAAAGGCAGCCCTTCAGTAGATCGGTGATTCAAGAGCAGAAAGCAGGTGAGAATAAATAAAGCGAATTACAGCCCACAGTGAAAATGGAAAGAGGCTTCTTAGAGGGAGCTCCCGGCTCAGGAGGCATCAACACCACCCCAAAATGGGCCAAAACCCCCTCATTAGGGTGATGATGAAGTGCTGGAATTGCATCCACATTTGCATGGGGTGAATCAGTTCCCCCCACCCCCGGAAAAGCCGGGAGGTTTGGGAGTCTGTCTGTGATCGGGGAGAGCACAAAACGCCACCACTTCATTTGGAATAAATGAAAGTAAATGAGCTCAATTACAAGGCACGGGTAAATTGCGAGGAATTAAGTTAATTAGGGCTGTGAATGAAGGGCCACGTTCCTTCCTAGGAAGGCACAGGAACCCCTCTATGTCTCTGCAGTGGGGAGAGAATTGGTGTTTGGAGTAAAAAAATCACATTTCTAATGGTCAGAAGATGAAGGTCCAGGGCTCTCAGCACCCACAGGTGGCCCTGCCCAATGCACATTTATCTGCTGCAAACCCTGTTTTCAATTTTATTGGCCCAACAAGACGATGTTGTTTCGCTTTTCTTACCGAATGATTTGTATCGGCCCGAGAAACCCAAGGGGGTTGGTCTGAATAACCCGTGGGGTTTTCGTGAATCCTTGGGGGCTCTTCCTCAAGGAATAAACTATGATAGTAAGATTTTATTATTATTATTATTATTATTCTTAATTTTGATCTTCTGCTAAAATACATTTCAGCCTTTACAATGAGACAATTCCAAACACCAAGCAAGGCTGGGATCAGTCACAGCCATGGGCCCCAGGGAGGGTAAATTGGGGAATTACCATCTGAATTGCTGTAGAGAAATTAATTAATTAATTAATTCATTAACGTGGGTTCAGCCTTACTGGCATCAGTTTTTAATGGGGTCCTTTTGTCCTCCAGGCCAACTTATCCCCCCCAGCACAGGCCACTGCCAATAAAACACATCATGCTTGTACCATCCAGGGATAAAATGTGTGAGGACGTGTAGAATTTAGGGAAGTTCTCAGCGGATTCCAAGCCTTCCGCTCCCTCTGAAGCTGTTGGGGATGTTGGTTTGTTGTCTTCTCTCCCCAGATGTGGCTTCCTGCAGATCCTGAGCGTCTTCCAAAGCCACCGGTTCGTCCCAGCTGGGCCGCTCGCGGCTCCAACGGGAACCTTCCCCCCAAGGCCCTGGCCCAGAGCTCCCGGTGGAACGCCGGGATTCGACCGGCGCCCGTCCGAGCTCCGGCGCCGAAGCCCCGCGGGAGAGGGACTGGAGATGCCACCAGGATGGAGAGCAGAGCTCCACGTCAGTAAGATGTCCTGTCCCGTGGGGAGGCTGTTCTAGAGCCCAGCAATGTCCGGATTGTGGAATTCCGGAATGGTTTGGGTGGGAAGGGATCTTGAAGACCGTCCAGTTCCAACCCCTGCCATGGGCAGGGACACCTCCCACCAGCCCAGGTGGCTCCAACCTGGCCTTGGGCAATTCCAGGGATCCAGGGGCAGCCACAGCTTCTCTGGAAATTCCAGCTCAGCCCCTCAACACCCTCCCAGCCAGCAATTCCTTCCCAATCTCCCATCTCTCCCTGCCCTCTGGCAGTGGGAAGCCATTCCCTGTGTCCTGTCCCTCTATCCCTTGTCCCCAGTCCCTCTCCAGCTCTTCTGGAGCCCCTTTAGGCTCTGGAAGGGGCTCTCAGGTCTCCCTGGATCCTTCCCTTCTCCAGGTGAGCCCCCCCAGCTCTCCCAGCCTGGCTCCAGAGCAGAGGGGCTCCAGCCCTGGCAGCATCTCCGGGGCCTCCTCTGGACTCTCTCCAGCAGCTCCACGTCCTTGTGCTGTTGTTCCCCAGGGCTGGGGGCAGCTCTGCAGGGGGGGCTCAGCTGAGGGGGCAGAGGGGCAGAATCCCCCCCTTCCCTGCTGTGGGATGAGCCCAGGACACGAGGGGGTTTCCAAGCTGGAGATTGTTGAGCTTTTCATCCACCATCACCCCCAGGTCCTTCTCCTCAGGGATCCTCTCTATCCCATTGTCCCCCAGCCATGTCTGTGCCTGGGATCAAGCGACTCCGCTGTCCTTGTCACCAGCAGAGCTGTTATTTAGAACCCAGAGGGAAGGAGGTGACACTGGCAGGGCGTTCCTGTGGGATGGTGGGAATGCAGGTGACAGGGATTTGAGAGAGAACTTGGGGCCAGGGATGTCCCACCCAGCACTTCCCAAACCCCCCCCCCGTCCCAACTGTCATCTTGGAATGATCATTGGCACAGGGTTTAACTCCCCAACGCCGCCTGGCAGAGCGAGGGATGGGGCTGGGAGCTCCATCCAAAGGCCAGGGACTCCCCCAGGTCCTGGAGAGAAGCCAGGACGAGCTGGTGGGGTTGGGTTTGGAACCAGAGCCCTCAGCAAATTCCAGCAGGGAGCAGGGAACTGCAGGCAGGGAACAGCTGAGGAAGCAGCTGATCCCAAAAATAAGAATGCAGAACGACACGATTCCCAAGAATTTCGTGCTGTTTCAGTCTGGGCTTGGCTTGGGAAGCTCTCCATGTCTCCTGAAGGTCCTCAGTGTCTGCAGCCCCCCTGGAAAAGCCTTTTGGGTACCTTTGAGAAGCACCAACGTTTGTGGAGGTTTGGGAGAAAGTCCTCTGGGTTCACAAGTGGGTTTTAATGACTTAATTATGGTTTTAATCCGTAAGGATTAAAATCTGTGACCCCTGAGGTTTTTTTTTTTGGGTTGTGCCAGAAGGAGGAAGAACCTGGAGGGAACAAAGGAAAATGGGATTCTGATGGGACGCTGTTAGGATTGTCAGGGTGATCACAGAGGTGCAGTGGGCAGAGCTCCTACAATTGTCCAGTAATTATTGGTGATCCCATCTAGAAGGGAGATGATGGAGCACGTGGAGAGCTCCAGCATCCCTCTGGATCTCCCTGGAATCCGGTATTTTTAGCAGGTCCACAGGCTGATCTCCATGAGCAGGAAGTGAGTGACCACAAATCCTCCCGTGGGAGATGAAAGGATCTAAACACAGCTGAAGGGATGAGAAAGACTGGATAGGATACTGGGAACAATTCCTTCCTGGAAAGGGCTGTCCAGGCCTGGCACAGCTGCCCAGGGCAGTGGTGGATTCCCATCCCTGGAGGGGATTTAAAATCCCTGTGGATGTGGCACCTGGGGACATGGGTCAGTGGAGGCCTTGGCAGTGCTCAGGGAACGGCTGAACTCAATGATCTCGGAGCGGTTTTCCAACCTAAACGACTCCATGATTCCAGGAATCCTAAGGAAAACACACACAGACTTCTCCACGTGGGAAGCAGGACATAAATGGCCATAACAGCACCAGGATGAGGCCAGAGGGTCACGGTCCCTCCCAGTGCCAAAGCCGTACAAGGTCCCTATAAAACAGGACCCTCCTCCTGGAATTCCATTGCCTGGACAGAGCTGGGGGAATGTTGTGACCTTGGATGTGGGTGCTGGCTGTTCCAGCCAATCCAGGGAATTCTGCTGGTCCGGCAGCAGGGTTGGGGTGGCTTCCTTGGCTCCGGAGGGAATGGGAATGGCAAGGAGGTGTCTGAGTCTCTCTGCTGCTGAGGGGGGGTTAGTGCTGGCAGAGAGGATGTGGGAGCACAGGGAATTCCTGCAGGGATGTGGCCACCCATAGTGACTGTTGCTGGTGCCATGAAGGTGGAGGGAACTGGAGCCTGCCGGGATGTGCCGTGTCCGGCCTCGGCTGCGGCCGAATTCCCTCTGCACGGCAGGGAATTCCGTGCACAAGGAGAGGGTTAGTGGGGAAGCAAACTACCTACAAACACCACCGTGGTAAAAAAACATCCCGAGGAAATGATCCCTGAGGGATTGCATTTGGATCAGGGGCGATTTGCAAGGCAAAACTATGTGTAATTTGTTCACATCCGAGAGAGACAAATCCCATCTTAATTCCTTCGGTGACCTCTCCAGGACCTCTGTGAACTCTGCCAGGCTTTTCCCAAGGTAAACTTTACCTGGGCTTTGCCAGGGAACGTCTGCAGATTGCCAGGAAGCGGAAGGAAAAGCAAAGATGTTCTTGATTGACGCTGATTTTCTCCGTAATGAGATGAGGGAGGGAAATTAATCCAGATTTGCAAAGGTATTCGAGGTATAAAACGCCACCAAAACCCCAAGGATTGGCTGAGCACCTAAACAGGTTTAGAATGTGAATTCTCTGCCTGAGTTGATCTGATCCTGACGTTATTTCTCCTCCTTCCAGCATCTCCAGTGTTCGAGGCTCAGCCCTGGCACATTCCTGCATCCAGCCAAGGATCCGACTCGGAATGAGGGGAGGATCCGGAGCGTCCTTCACCCCAGCAGGACAGAAACTTCTCTGCCTGGCAGTGGGAGAACAAAATGCTTCTGCTGGTCTTCGGGATCTCGACCTGGTTTTCCTGTTGCTGGTGCTTTATTCTCTTCTTCCTTCTGGATGTGTCACCTCTGAAATGTCCACTTGGAATTCTGGCCGCGGTGGAGACGCTCGCTCGGATCCTCCCTAGGGCTGCTGGACCTCGTGTGAGCTTTTTCCATGGATCATTTGGACAAATCTCAGGGCACATCCCACGGCCTGAGCTGCTCTGTGATGCTTTGCCAGGGAATCACGGGAGTTGTCTGGCTCTGCGGGGCACCCATGGGGTTGTGGAAGATGAGGGATGACTTCCAGGCATTGGAATGATGGAAATTCTACCCTCCCTACGACTCGAGTGCTTTATCCCTACCATGGTCCTTCAGCTGAGACCTCCAGCTCCTTCCAAATCAGCTGGAAAGCAACCAGGGAAGAGCGTGGAAGAATCAAGGAAAACACTCCAAGGAAAACACTCCAAGGAAAACACGGATTGGGCTGTGCTGGGAACAGAATTTCTCCCTCATGCTGAACAAGGCAAACCCATCTTTTCAGTCGTGTTAGTGGGAAGGAAATCAAATCTCCACCCCCCCCCTCTGGATTTCAGCACATGGATCCACGTGGGGAGCTGGCACTTGTTACTTAGGAGGAGGTAAACCTCCTAAGTTCCTGGTTTTTTTTTTCTGGGATTAAGGAATTTCCTGGTAAATTCAACAAATAACAGGTTTTAAGGATAAGGGGATTGAGTGCTCAGCAACTGTAACTCATTACCTGCTCACAGCCCAGAGTGAGAGAGCTGGGATAAAACTGAACCTTTCTGGGTGTTGGGAAGAGCCCCAGAACACCCAGGAATCCTCAGTATTCCACATTCCAGAGGGAATGCCAAAATCCCAGCATCATTAAGGCTGGAAAAGACCTTCAAGATCATCAAGTCCAACCATCAACCAGCATCACCCCTGTGTTCACCCTTAAATCACATCCCCAGGTGCCACATCCACGTGTTTTTGAAGACTTCCAGGGGTGGGGACTGTTCCAGTGCTTCACAACCCTTCCCATGAAGAAACTGTTCCCAAAATTGCTCCAAATCATCCATGGGGCAACTCAGTGAGTCTCCCTCTCCCAGACTCTGGTGTTTCCTTTTCCCAGTTGTCCTGAGTGTTTGGAAGGACGAGTTCATCTCAAAAAACACGACGGCCTAAGAACTAACAGGCCTGAGCTGTCACCTCTCAGAGGATCAGCTGAACCAGGGACTTGCAGATGGGAATCACCTCATGGATTTTAGGATCTGTTGATTATCTGTTGACTAATGAATTTTGATTAGGAAAGCCAATTGTTGAGCAACTGAAGTGAGGTGGGGCAAATCCCAGCCAAAACATTCATCAGCATCGTTCCCTGCTATTCCAAATCTCTCCTCACAGGCCTTTTTTATTCCCAGGAAACCAAGGTAAAGGATTGCTCCATGGGTGCTTCCTTGGCTTCTTAAGGAGCTGTTCCAGCTCCTTCTCTGGTCTCCATGAGGCACAAACAGCAAACAGCTACTCAAGGCAAGGTTGTAACCCTGCAGCAATGCTTTTCCTTTCTCACCAATGACCACATTCCCTGGAATCATCCAGCTCCCAGGATCCTGGAGGTGAGTCCTGGACATCGCTGTGCCTTTGCTGCAGCAGATCACGCACCTAGAAATGCTCATTGTACATTTTAAACCTTAGACCTTCCCTGATCGATCAAGTTTTTTGTAGTTCTGATGGTGTGAATTAACAAACGGGGACGTGCCAAGCCAAGGGGATTATCCCCGAGACAACAGCGGGGCTACACAAAGCCCTGGTGGGATCCTATTAATCAGAATTAAATCACACACACCTGAAACGCATCGTGTGGAATGTCCTGTGCGTAAAAGCCAACATAAAACATACCTGACGTCGTTCCCGAGGTCACCAAAGGGCTCAGAATCTGAATCAGTGGAGAGCAATAAAATCCAGAGGGGGAGTCTCCCTCGCCTGGGAGCTGCTGGAAGCCACTTTCCCCACCTCCGGGCTGCTGATCTGCAGGGGCAGGAGGTTGTTCCCCCAGCCTTGCAGCGTTCCCAGATGCGCCGATAAGGAGCTGCCAAACCAGAACAGAGAGAGAGGTGGCTGTGCCCTCGCCCTTCCTCGTAGACGCGCATTTCCCAGCCCGGCCCGGCATTCCCAGATCCTGCCCCGTGGATCTCATCAGCCACAGCCTTTGAGTGGAGAAGCGAAGGTGCCTTCGGAAGCCCAGAGGCCACGGAATCAGCTGAATTCCAGCGGCAGGAGCAGGGATGGGGATGTTGAGCCCTGCTGAGGGGTGGGGAGCAAACCCCGACCCTCCAACCCCCGTCCTGCCGGAGCTTTTCCCCCCATCCCGGCCCGGCATTCCCAGATCCTGCCCCGTGGATCTCATCAGCCACAGCCTCTGGGTGGAGAAGCGAAGGTGCCTTTGGAAGCCGAGAGGCCACTGAATCAATCAGCTGAATTCCAGCGGCAGGAGCAGGGTCGGGATGTTGAGCCCTGCTGAGGGGTGGGGAGCAAACCCCGACCCTCCAACCCCCGTCCTGCCGGAGCTTTGTCCCCCCAGCCCGGCCCGAAGCTCCGCCCGCAGCGCCCTGGGGCGCGGGGCCCGGAGGGACCGCGGGTTTGGAGTTCGGCCCCGGAGCCAAAATGAAGTTTATCCTGATCATTGGTGGGAAAGGGGGCTGTGTGTAACTCACTGGAGATGCAGGTTGGGTTGAAGCGAGGATTTCTGGGAATGTCCAGCCTTTGTGGGGAGGTGGGAACGTTTGGAGAGGGAATTTTCAGATAATGGATTAAAGGATGGCCGTGGAAGAGCGTGGAGACCTCGTGGCAAAGGGAAAGCAGCCGGTGAGAGGAGTTAAATCCAGATTAAAAGTTGCTTTAATCAGCGATGGAGCTGATGAGGAACAGAGAGCAAAGCTCAGCTCAGTAAAGAAGGGCTGAGATGAGGAGGCAGTCATAGGTGAGAGGGATTGTTTTTAGGGAGGCGCAGGGATGTGGGAATTGGTTTGGAGTCAGGCACCTTGTCCCTGCTGACGTGTTGAGAGCCATCACCTTATTGTAAAGTAAAAAGAAATTAAAAAAAAAAAAAAAGAGAAATAAATAAAAATAATTAATTGTAAAATAAAAATTAAAAATTAATTACTAAATAAAATAAGAATGAAATAAAAAATTTAAATGAAATAAAATAAAAAATAAATAAAATAAAATGTAAAATAAAAATAAATTTATAAATAAAAAATTAAAATAAAAATAAATTAAAAACTTAAAAATACAAAAAAAAATTAAAATTCTGTGCAGGGATGGGGGGGGGGTGGTGCCAAAGCCACCCAGGGAGGGGAGGAAGGTGGGATGATCATGGTCACAGGACCACGTGCTCTCCTCCCTCCCTGAAACCTCTGCTGGCCCCTCCATGCCCAGTCCTGACCGTGATCCCCAAAATCCTCACATCAGCCCACAGACCCAGGGGTTTGCATGGAAAGCTTTTTACCAGCCCACAAATCCCAAGATCAGGTCCCGTGGCCATTTCCAGCGTCTCCCTTCGGTTTTATCCGTCATGTGGTGGTGGTTTTTTAAATTCTGGAGGCCTGTTTTTCCTCTCCAGCTCTGTTGTTTCATGTCCCCTCTGCTCACAGGATCCACCAGAATCCAGAGGATGACCAGGACACCACCAGCAAGGAAATTTGGGAGCTGGTGGCACCAGCAAGGCTCTGGCTCACAGCAAAAAAAAAAACAAACAAAAGAAGTTGTTCCCCACATGGGATGCAATTCAGCTTTGGAATTCTCTGTCTCCAGAAGCTGTGGATGTTAAAGCTGATGTGGGCTCTAGAAGCCACTGGAGATTCATGGGAGAATTCCAAGCTCATTTTGTAAGAATTCGGACTGGAAGGGACCCCAGGAGGTCCCTGGTCCAACCTCCTGCTCCAAGCAGGGTCAGCTCCGGGATCATCCCAGGTGGCTGAGGGTCTTCAGATCCATCAAAGGAGGGGATGACACAACTTCGGGCAACACACTCTGACACTTGGAGAGTCATGGGATGTCCTGAGTTGGGAGGGACCCACGAGGATCACCCAGTCCAACCCCTGGCCCTGCACAGGACACTCCAACAATCCCACTCTTTCCCTGCTGTCCAAACCCTCCTGGAGCTCTGGCAGCTTTGGGGCTGTGCCCGCTGCCCTGGGGAGCCTGTTCAGCGCCCAACCACCCTCTGGGGGAAGAACCTTTCCCTGAGATCCCCTTGGCTGGTCCGGGGATGAAAAAAATTCCTCCTTACACCCAGTTTGAACCTTTCTCCTTGGAATTCTCAACTGTTCCCCTCTCACCCTCCCAGCACTGTGCAAACACAACACCCCTCAGACCCCACGAAGCCCTTCCCTCTCCTCATCCTCTCCCCTCAAATACCCTGATCCCCTCCCCGCTCTGCTCTCCCTGCTCCCGCACATCTCCAGGCGGGATTTTCAGCCTTTTGTCAGGAAAGCGCAGCTTGTTTTTTCCCTCCTCATCTCGATGCTTTGCTACCACCTAGCGCTGACAGGGCGCAGGGGTCCCTCAGGGGAATTCCCGGGATATCCGTGGGCTGTGCCAAGTGGGAGGAAGATTGATAGCAAGATCCCGGGGAAAGTTGGGTGTGGGTGGGAAAAACAGGATGATCCCACCACTGGGAATTTGAAGCAGATGGATTTTTACCTTCTCCTCTTTTAGCCATCAGCCATAAGAGGTTGTGTCCAGGGATGTGTCCAGCCCTGGGCTCCTCAGGACAGGAGGGACAGGGAGCTCCTGGAGCAGGTCCAGTGGAGGGAAACAAAGATGCTGAAGGGACTGGAACATCTCTGTGATCAGGAAAGGCTGAGGGAGCCGAGGCTGTTCAGCCTCCAGAGCAGACACTGAGAGGGGACCTCCATCAGGTCTGTAGGGTCCAGCAATGGGACAAGAGGGAATGAGCAGAAACTGATGCCCAGGAGGTTCCATCTGTGTGGAGTCTCCCTAACTGGAGATATTCCAGCCCTGTTTGGACAATCCTGTGCCCTGTGCTCTGGGATGGCCCTGCTCGAGCAAAGAGTGGGGAGCAGATGACCCACTCTGCTCCCTTCCGACCTGAACCATTCTGTTGTTCTGTGACACCGAGATTCTGTGGTTCTGTCATTACGTGATTTCCTAACTCTTGAGTCTGTGATCTTTGGATTCTGTGACTCTGTGATTCTGCAATTCCGTGAGTCCATGAGTCTGTGATCCCATGATTCTGTCATGTTGTGATTCCCTGGTTCTGTAATTTTGTGACTGTAGTTTTGTGACACTGCGATTCCGTGACTGATTTCGTGACTCTGCGACTCCGAGATTCTGAAAGTCCCTGAGTCTGTGATTCTGTATTTCTGTGA